TGAATGAACAAGTATATATTGAAATAACATACAAGAACAAAATATACAATAATTTGTATTCAATGTATAGATTAAGGGAAAGAAGTTGTTTCCCCTTTTACCGTATTTTGATTTGTAATTGATTGTTCGAAAGAAAGTTCTCTTTAGAGAGAAATGTTCAGGAATCAATGTTAGAACAAGTCTGCTGTTAGAATAGATAACACAAGAATACAATTGATCAGAAAGTGTGTTGTGTTAGAGAAATCAACAGAGTCCTGGTTGATTGAACTTGGCTGAGTCACAGAGATATGTAATTGTTGAAACTTGACTAATGCATGGAATAATAATACAACACAAAATGTACTTAGAACAAAATGTATTGAAACAAGAAAGTGTACACAATATTTACATATAGTCTTTTGTATATTCTTGGGAAGACCGTTCCTGGAGAATGTGTTGACTTAGCCGCAGTCGGCAGAGTCTCTGGATTGAATCTCTTGATTCCTTCCCTCGTCTTTCCGGTACCAACCATATTTATATGATCGGTACTCCACTATGCAAATTAGGTGGATCCTACCACAACAGCAATGTATATATGTATTACAAAATTCTGTGTCTGTGTGTGCATTTGAAATGTTGTGAGTAAAGTCATAGGTTTGTGTTGACAGGTGAAATTTAGTGGACTCTACTGGCGGCTTGTGAAAAAGTCGTCTCTTTTAAAGCTACAGAGAGGCCCCCAGCGAAACCGCGGGAAAAGTTGATTTTGCCCTAAAATATGTGATTGGTTAAAATTTGACCAATCGCTAAATTTGTACTAACGAAACAAGTAAGCAAGTTCAAAACCGAAAAATTCAAAGCAACGACTGCGATGGCTAAATTGTCCTATAGAAAGGCCGTATTGATTTATTAGTCAATCGCAGACGAATAAAATGTGGGCATGGAAAAACAGCAGTCGCTACACAACCACTGAAAATACTGTATAAAATATGTATAACAAGACCTAAAATATAAAGGTTAAAATATTTTCTAAAAACAGCTATGATAGCATTAGCATAAGCCACTTTTAAGACCCCAGCCGCAGCCCCTAACAAAGAACAAAGCACAAGCACTACGCATGTTTTGCGTTTGTTTTTACATTGAAGATGTACAATTCTTCCAATTTTTACCATAAAAATGAACTGTTATACGTTTTAAGTCATTTAAATAACAGGAAAATAATACAAGAATATTTTAAATACGTTCTATCGAAAAAATACGCAAATCGAGGAAGTTCTCAGCGAATAATTTGTACATACGTTCTTCAGAAAACACGCGAATATTCAAGTACATATGTTCTAAAGAAAAATCCGCGAATGTGCGAAGCCACGAATGCTGAAACGCGAATAGGCGGGGGTTCACTGTATACACATATACACAAAGGGGAACCTTACTTATAATATTTCTTGAAGAGAAAACAAGAGTTATGGCTGTTTCTTTACGAACCAGGTTAGGTCATATGTTTTTAGAGAAACCTCCCTGCTTCTTATAAACATGGCTGATTCTTAACTTCACGAGAGCATCTCTCTGCATGTCTCATGTTTTCCATTGACCTGATATGGAACAACTACATTGAATCAATAGCTACATCTACTGCAAGGAAATTTGGTTCTCTGTGTCGCGCCAGAAGGTTTTTCTCGCCTGAGTCCGTTCTTCTTATCTACAAATTTACCATTCATCCATGCATGGAATACTGTTGCCATATATGGTCTGGTGCCCCCGCTGTTCATCTCGAGGTCCTCGACAAAATCCAAAGACGGATATGCAATGTGATAGATCCTGACCTGGCATCTCGACTCCAGTCACTTTCTCACATACGTGCTGTGGCTTCCCTCTGTCTTTTCTACAAATATTTTCATGGCATTAGCTCTGACGATTTATTTTCACTGGTGCCCCAACTGCATGCATTTAAGCGTGCTACTAGGTTGGCATCTCGGTCCCACGCTTTTACGGTTGAAACAGTTAAATGTAACCGCCTCTTCTACTCCAACAGCTTCTTCCCTTGCACTTCCCGGCAGTGGAACTCCCTTCCTCTTACTTGCTTCCCTGATAGCTGTAATCTTCAAAACTTTAAATGTAATGTCAATCGACATCTTCTGATGCCTTGATCTTGATCCCCGTCCTTCTCTTTATCCTTTCCTCAGACACCAATCTTTTCTTTTACTTTCACTCTCTGTAACCCCTTCGTGATAGTGGCGCTTGGGTTGAAATGCTTAAAAATAGAAGACCTACCGCAGTGGACTCGGGATGTCGTTCTTCTCTAGGCTTTACGTCACAACAGCCTTCGTCAATCTATTTTCTGACATCATTCACCGGCTGTCATGTGATCCTCGTGACTATCTCAACCAAAGGAAAACTGATATTTATTCGTACAAAAAGTACAAATTGTGGCACGAGGCCAATAAAGGGGAGGGGTAGAGGCTGGTCAACACTAACTATCTTATACCTAGCTAATCAGATTCGCGACCCATTCGTACATTACATTTTACCCATTCACCAAAGAACTCGTCCATTACCAAACAATCCTTCAACCACCATAATACCACGTGCTCTCAAGGGTGACCTAACAAAATCGCGCCCCATGCCATAAAAATTTTAATGATGATATATATATATACAATTCTAATAATGATAAAATGAGAGGGAAATGAACCCAATAATAAACTTAAAATAAACAAATACAAACTAAACATAATTGATGTTAGTAGGGACCGTCCAACCCATAAAACAGAGAGACCGCTGTATTCTGCCCAGGGGACAAAATCAAGAGACGCTCTCGTTAAAGGGAGGGGAAAAAAGTATAAAATATTAGGCTGGAATGGGAAAATATAAAACTGACCCAGTCGAGATGAAGTGGTGGGGGGGTCAAAACAAACTGGGGAGGTTGGGAATCTCGACTTGGATCATAACCAAAGAACGGCCGGGATGCAGGCCAGGAACAACACTTACTCACATTAACTAGATACACTGAAGCTTGTCTAACCTAACCAAGGGGAGGGTTCCACAGGAAGCCACCCCGAAGTGCAATACGTTGACCTAGAAGAGAAAATCAAGGCTAGCCCCGTTCACACGAAGCAAGCTCAACCAAAGGAAGACTATCGGCATTGGTAACCCAATACCTCGCTGTATGGATCGGAGGTAACAAATTTAGTATAGGAGGAGCAGGAATTGAATATAAAATAGGTTGTATTAGAGGTAGTTTCACCTAACATCGCAAATTGCTATAAAAACTTGAAAACTTGACTCCTGCTCTTAAATAACCTCATCTGGATGCCATGCATGGCGTCAAAGTCGTTCAAAAATAAACTGTATAGAACCGCTTTCTAATATCAATGGTTAAAAATAGCTTTGAGCAAGTGAAACCTGTTGGTCTTGGAATCTTGGAGATTGGTGAAGCACAGAAAAAGAACTGTACCAAATAACAAACCATTGAGGACTACCAACAGCAGCAAGAAATGAAATGGATAGTGTTATGGTAATTTACCCACGCAGTTTTGGGAGAGGGAGTTTCCAGCAGTCGGACCTATATATATATTTATATAGATATATATGAAGAAATATATATATTTATATATATATATATATGAAGAAATATATATATATTTATATATATATATATATGAAGAAATATATATATTTATATATATATATATATATATATATATATTTATAGAAATATATATATATATGAAGAAATATATATATATAGGAAATATATATTTATATATATATATGAAGAAAATATATATATTTATATATATATATATATATATTTTATATATATATATATATATATATATTTATATATATGAAGAATATATATATTTATATAATATATATATATATATATATATATATATATGAAGAAATATATATTTATATATATATATATGAAGAAATATATATATTTATATATATATGAAGAAATATATATATATATATATATATATATGAAAATATAATTTTATATATATATATATGAAGAAATATATATATTTATATATATATATATATGAAGAAATATATATATTTATATATATATGAAGAAAATATATATATTTATATATATATATATGAAAGAAATATATATATTTTATATATATATATATATATATATATATTTATATATATATATATATATATGAAAATAATATATATATATATATATATATATGAAAAAATATATATATATATATATATGAAAATATATATATATATATATATATATATATATATATATGAAGATATATATATATATATATATAAATATATATATATATGAATAAATATATATATATATATATATATATATATATATATATATATATGAAGATATATATGATATATATATATATATATATATATATAATATATATATATATATATATATATATATATCCATATATGAAGAAATATATATATATATATATGAAAAAATATATATTTCTTCATATATATATATATATATATATATATCTATTAAGAAATTATATATATATGAATATATATATATATATATATATATATATATATATAAATATATATATATATATATCCATAAATATATATTTCTTCATATATATATTGAAAAAAAAATGGATTCATTCGGACATTATTTTTCTTTTTAATAATATATTTTTTTATATATTATTTTCTGAAGCAAAATGGATTCATTCGGAAGTTATGTAAATTTATGCTTGTTAATGTTATTTTAATTGCAATTAAACAATATTTGTTTACAAAAAATCACATTTACCGGCCTGAATGTTCGAGAAATTTCTTTGAAAATATGTGCTTCTCCGACAGAAATCGAACCTATAACCCCATCATTTGATCTGATGTGCTGTTAACCATTTAGCCACAAAGAAGCGTCTGGGTAGCAATGTCCTTTACAAATTGCAGATCAGTTTTATTTAAGTAACTGTTTTGATTAAAGTTAAACATCTTTTTTTATTTCATGATCCTTTTCATGTGTCTCTTTGCAGGTTGTGCGTTTTATTACTACTTGTTATTTGTTCTGGTGGAGGATATTGGATAAGGAGAAGATATTTGGTGCATCAGATTTTCACATCCGAAACTCAGCAGCATCCAGTAAACATTCCCCGGACACAGGTTGGCACAGGTTACCGGAGTCTGGCAGGTAATTGGCTTTTCCCCTCGAAATACCTTTCTAGTTAGAATTTCCATTATTCATAATTGTCTTCATGGCATACCCATATATAAAATTAATTGTCTATTAAGTATGTCTCCAGCTTCGATTAGGCATAGACCTACTCAGCCTGACTAGCCATATATATATATATATATATATATATATATATATATATATATATATATATAGGCAGCAATTTTTCATTGATGCCTGTTTCATTAAATTATATAGACAAGTTTTGTCTATTTATTTTAAGTAAGTTCCTTTCATATTGTCTGATAAGCTTAATAACATTATCATTGAAAGACGAAAGGAAATTACCATATTATCTTAGCTTTCGGCTTACATAAGCCATTATCGAAAATGACAATTACATTTCAATATATCAGACAATACACGAACGAAACAATAATGATAGTCTGTTTTTGTTGCATGAAAAATTTCAAAGCGACGACAAACTCGGGTATACGAGACTCGGAAGCGAAAATCGCTTCACAGCTCGTGACGTCACACATGACCACGCGAGAGTGAAAACGAGAAGTATTAAGTATGGGAAGCTGTTGGTATAAACCAATGGCTTCCGTTATCAATTATTTTCTTCAGGTTAGGTTTCAACTGTTTTATGTATATAGCTTCAAGAATCTTTAGTTTTTGTTTATTGTTTTCATGTTTAAGTATAGTTACTTAAAATAAATAGACAAAACTTGTCTATATTATTTAATAAAACATGCATCAATATATATATAATTTTTCTAAAGTTCAAATTCATTTTTTTATTTTTTTATTTTACCCCTGAGAACTTTCAAATCTTGCCAAATTCATTTTCAAGGATTTTTTGTGTGTTTGGTCAATGAAAAAATAAATAAATATGAATTTTGTTAAGTTTAGCGAGTCTATAAAACACCTAATTTGGAAATTTTAAAATGTTAATAAAAAATAGGATAAACAAAATTTTTTGATATTATTCAACAAATGAAAATACTACTGAAATATACCTTATATATATATATATATATATATATATATATATATATATATTATATATATTTTTAAAAATGGACTATTATTTAAGACATTTTTATGTTTATACATTCTTTTATTGATACAAATATTTAAGTAAATTCTCTGTTTATAATAAACAGTATTAAACAACATAAACGGGTCCGGGCCTGTCTCCCTCCCCGGACGAAACTTTGCCCGGGTCCGTCTCTGCTCAAGGCAGAGAGTTGAACGGGCAATGGTACCGCTCCGAATAGAGGTGTTCATATGGATTTCATTAAATGTTCTCCTTAAAGGGATCAATGGTAAAAAAAAAAAAACTTGTTCTTTTAACTAAGAAAGAGTAATTTGTGTTTTAAGCCTCGCACTAAGTATCTAATAAAACATTTTTCCGAAAAGTTTTAATTAGGTATAAATGTACATGCTTAATTCGAAAATAACAAAGAAACTTTGATAAAATCTACTATTTTGGAGTGATCGACAATAAAAATTCGGACTCATTCGCGTTACGGCACGGCAGCCATTACTGGTGTTGTTTGTATACATTCGCTGCTGAATAGAATGCGCGGAAGATCACCATGGTAACGGCGTTTTTATTGATCTTACTTGCTTCAATTACTGCGCAACTGAGGACTCATTGCATGCGCAATCATCAAGAAAGGTAAATATTAATTCCGCAGCAAATATATGAGAAACAACCCCAGTAATGGCTACCGAGACGCGAATGAGTCCGAACTTCTATTGTCGATAACTCCAAAACGGTAGATTTTATCAAAATTTCTTTATTATTTTCGAATTAAGCATGTACATTTACAATTAAATATAACGATTTGGGAAATTTATGTTAGATACTTAGCGCGGGGCTTAGAAAGCAATTTACTCCTAATAAAAGGAGCTGGAGAAATATTTTTAGCTTTACTCACATCCCAAATCCTTATTTCAAAGCACCATAATACTAATTTCTGTTCAGGTGATTCAGCAGAGAACTTTTCAGCACCTTGATTCCTGTTGATGTTTTGTCTTTCAGAGACCTCCCAAGTGGCACCACAGCCTCTTATGATTGACGCGCCACCACCCCCTTATTCAAGCCTCTATCTGAATAACAACATCATGCCTGAGGTGTGTGCCGACATCAAACCGCCGCCTTACTCGGAAACACTCCCAACATATGAGGAAAGCATTGGCCAGCGCCCAGCTCCTCCTCTACAATCAACACAGGTGCCACGATGAGAAACTACTGCTGTCACTGGTTACCAAGTACCATCGCATTTGGAAACCATGGAAACATTCTTCATGCTGTTTTCTTCCCAAACCAACCATTGTCTTGGATCTCT